TATCCCACAATGCTTAGTGTTTAGCCTATCCCACAATGCTTAGTGTTTAGCCTATCCCACAATGCTTAGTGTTTAGCCTATCCCACAATGCTTAGTGCTGATATAGTTCCTCATTAAGGTAGATATAGAAGTCCTATTGTCTTTTGATCTTTAACATTAAAATTACAATAACACCACCAGGCAAAACTAATCGACAACATGTGTTAATCAATACCTGGCTGACACCTGTAATGCATTGTAAAGTACTTGGGATTGCCAACACAGGGATCCCGAAGAACCTTTGTCAGATTATTGATAAGACATTGGCTTCTTCCCTGACAAACTTCCATGACGCTCTTTTTACTAGTCTCCAAAGACGTGCAGTTTGTTAAAGCTCCACTTGCTGGACAAACACCAACCACTGTGCGTCCATAAACCACTGAACGTACTTCAACAACCGTAGGGAAACTTCCAGCTTTGGTGTAAGGTGGACACGTGATATCGAGAGTGTTGTTGCAGGACGTAACGTTGTGTTCTTCAAAGAAAGTATGACAAAGTCCGTTACTCTGMTTTTTTTTGTTTTTTTTTTRRTRRMSTTTTTTGCGTTTRCGTTGCTTTTCTGCATTGTTTTCTCATACATTGCTGTTTTTTAGTTTTAAAATAATAATTTTTTGAATAGTAAGAAATTATATTGATGGAGAACAAGACAAAACTCTACGGCAATGTACAAAAACAAAACAAAACAACGACAACAAAAAATAACAAAACAAACCAAAACAAACAAACAAAACAAAACCAAAAAAACCGAGCACAAAAAGTCCATGTTGTTTGGTCTCACGGTAGTAAAATGCTTTAAACGTTTTTCACTAACCTTCACAGGGTAAATAACAAGTCTTGGCGTTTTTCAAATGATTCCCACCATGCCATCCCCAGTACAATTCTTGATCTCCATAGATAAGTTTTCTGGTTCTACTCCTTCTTGCGTGCATACCACATGCCTCGCAATGCCCCCATGGTGACCACATGGTGTAAATGGCTCCACCTTGATAAAAACAAATAACTCTAGTAATAACTAATAATAATAACTAATAACTCTACAAATAACTCTACTGGATTGTGCAATAGTAAGGTGCATTACACAGCTATTTTAAAAAGGGTGTCGGGGAGAATGGCAAATGCACGACCGAAAGTTACTCTGGGTTTTGATTATGGATGGCAATATTCGATTATCAAAGGGCTCAATATCTGTGTTTCTACGCCACAGACGTCGCCTTTTTGGATTTATCCATCCAGCATGGCGGCATAACTTTGATGTTCATTTCTCGTAGGATTCTTTTCATATGACACAAAGAGTGGATATTGTGTTAAGTCCGGAATTTGAACTCGGGCATAATTGAGTATAATTAAGCATTATTTAATTACTAAAGTTTTTCATTCGTTTTATGTTTGAATTTAAAAAAATTGATTCAGGATTCCACACCAACTATTACTCAAATGTAAACGCCTCTAGTTTTTAGTGTTTTTATTTTTTATTTTATATATTTATTTATTTTTTTTTTTGCAATTCCCGCATTAACTTGGAAAACCTTCTCTCAGGTTCTTAGTTAACGAGTGAGTAAAATGGGAAAGAAGCACAAAAAAGAAAAATTCAAGAAACAAACAAAAACAAAACGAAACAAAAAAAGTGGAAAACCGTACTTACTTTTTTGACAGCTGTACTTGAATATCACCTCCTTCTCTTTTCCAGGACAGGGGTCACTTACTACCCCTAACTTTGCGAGACTAACAGGATTGACGTTACACGCTGTATACGAACAAATCTTGTTTACTTTTGGGATATTCACAGTAGAGCAGTTCCCATCTAGTCTGCCATAGGAGACCTTTTTATGATGTATCATGACTGTATCTTTTGGACACTCCACTTTCGCGTAATCATTGTCAGCAAATGTCCTTACAACAACTGTTTGAAGCAAAAGATATATGGCAATTACAGCGGAATTTGTTGCATCGCGACCTCTTTGTTTTGAAGTTTGTCTGGATTTTGTTCTTTCTTTCAAACTGAGGGGCGGAGCTTTTCGAAAACTCGTTCAATCATTGGCTGATTAGTATCAAGCTCCGCCCCCAAGTCGCAGAAAAACCTAAATCCCAACTATTTCTTTTGAACATTGAAGTCGCGCTGCAACGGTTTCGGCTGTAAACAGCTATTTCAAAAAAAAGAAAAAAAATGCACAGGAACCCAACTATCACAGAAAGGTACGAAGGGGTTCGATAACGAAAACGTATCGGAGAAAAAGCGGGCAATCCGAAGTTATCCCGAATCACATTCATATGTACGTACGCACTCACAATYCATAAMAATAGCATAGTGTCTTGAGCGTCGTTCCGAGGCACTAGCCACAAAAAAGCATTAATTAACTCACCTGGAGTGCAGGAGAATTTTATCTGAAGGTACTTCCTATCACCAGGACAAGGATCCTTAAATAAACTAAGTGTAAAGTTTAGTGTACAGTTGCCTCTCTGCTGACATTGCTCATAGGTTCTTATGCTGTTATATTCTTCAGTTTCTTTGGAAGCCGTACAGTTCAAAGGCGTAGCTGGTGTGGCGTTACAGTTCTCAGCCTGCTTCCCCACGAGTACTTTCTCAATGTTGATAAAGGTATTATTTGGACATATGAGGAATTGGGTTTGGTTCTCGCAGATGGTGGCGTTAAGAGCTTGAATATTGATCAAATAACGAAGGTTAGTAACTCTTAAGGACAACAAACACCCAAGAACCTTTGCGCGATTTTCTCGAGCAAGAAAATTTTGGCATATTTTGATTTTAAACCAATCAGAAAGCACCCTACAACAAGGGATCATTTGTAAAGRGTACGATCGCAAAGATTCATGGATGGACTTGAAACTATGAAAAAATAAACAAAATGATTTTGATGTCTTTTAGTAGTTGAATATAAACGAAATATGGAATGTCAGTAAGCAATAATATAGGTGAACTAATAATAAAAGCAATAATACGCGAACAAAAAGACTTAATAGGTCTTCCAGAGCGAAATGAAAAACCTTTAGGATAAAATAAGAGAACTCGAATAGCGCGTCCTCTGCATTATCAATCGCTTCTTGTATGACAGTTCAGCTGAGAACGTGTATTATGTAGTTAAGATAAGCCTAAGATACATGTGATTCCGGATACGTGTTGAATTGACGGACAAACCTGCAAAGGACAACTCGTATAGTGTTAAAAAGTCTGAATCCAGGTGAATGAATTTTTATCGAAGTAACAATATAATGATCCGTGTGGATGTTGCAGTTTTAAGAAGAACTGTTTGATTTGACTGACGTTTCGACAACCTCTGCGGCGGTCATTTTCAAAGTCAAGTGAACAACTTGCGGATTCAAAATATCCTTAAACATGTAAACGGAGTGTTAGTAAGGGGCTTTTTAAGGTAGAGTTTTCTTACCTTGACATGCCTTGAAGCATGGTATGTTCTTTGTTTGMGATGWATCACCAGAGCAGTCTGCATCCCTGTTATAGCAAACTCTTCTTCGCTGTATGTAATGCGGAACTCCGCATTCTTTAGGGCATGTTGTCCAAGCAGACCATTCTAAATACCCACTATTCTCTGCAAAACAAAGAAGATAAAGAACCTTATTCAGATCAAATAGGATCATTTATCAAAGGCACTATGCCATAGTCCATATCGCAACCCGCGGAAAGCCTTGTGACGCAGTGCATTTTGGGATTGATAAATGAGTAAACAAGTGAACAACGATGTCAGTGCTCCAGTTGTCTGTAACGTAGACCCAGTTTTCGAAAAACATTGGGAAATATTGATATTGTAGTTAATCTCAGAAGCGAAAAAACAAACAAATATCAACATGCAAGGAAATACAGCAAGAAAAACRTCCAAAAAATGTARAGTTAATCAAAAATTTCCATTTACTAGGCAAATCAAGCAAAAATGAAAACAAACATATGTTGTCTGTGGAAAAATCGAKACTAATTAGTGTTTTTACGATTTTAGCGATTTGTTTTGATGAAGAAAGGGAGATATATATCCCATGARYCATTGCAAAACCATTCAAAATGGCGYGCTTGTGATATGGACTGAAAATCATAAGGGCATGCGTCATTGATAACTGTCATAGCAATGTGTTTACGCATGCTCAGTATTACAATCAAGTATAAGTTTCGCAATGACTTCTTGTTAGATTATATGATTATCTTTACCTGGCTGACATGAATATTCAAATTCTACTCTCTTCTTGGAGAGAATTCCTGGATATGGATCGCCTAATATGGCTGTGGATGCACTGATTTCACAACTCTTTTTTCCTGGACATTTAGTCTGGAAGCTCCAAATCGTC